GAACCCACAACCCCTGCTTACCGTTCAGATGCGTTGCCAGTTACGCTATCTTCCAGTCCTATTTCCTATAGGACCTCCAGTCCTATTTCCTCTTCCAGCATATAGAAGCTAACTACAGTATATAACCATCGACGGTTTTTTTCTCCCAGCGGTTCTAAATTATTTAAATTAATTAATTTATTTATAATTATTAATGTTAATAAGAGATGGCGCCTAACGCTTACCTCTAGAGCCAAATTGGTTACGTAATTTATTTAGTAATTAGCCTTAAACTAGCCCGATAGATTTTCGGCATTCGGTTGGTATGTAGAGATCATTGATCGTGTTGGCCTCAGCTGTGTTTGGATAGTGAGTGTTGGTAAACTCCTGAACCTCTCCCCATTTGACAAGGAAGTCCGTGTCAACTTTCACTCCTTCTGATGATTTCTTGCTTTATTAAAATTGAAATCACCTTTGTTTTTTTAGAAGCCATTTGCACAACACTTGAATAAATGTAAATACCCTGCCCTGAGGTGATGTACTTAATAAACAAGGGAGCAAGCCGAATCCCAACGGGTGCTCTGTACTTCAGATACACTAATAATATATTCTAATAATACTAATATATTATAAATATAGCAGATTGTTATTGGCAACAGCAAAAGAGTGGAAACAGCATTCGCACTTGTTTGCAAAAAGACCGTTTTTCAGTAAAATGTATTTCAGTAAAAATTGTCATGATATCAAAACTTTTTCAAAGTGAAAAGAGTTCTACAATTAAAATAAGTTGGAAAGAGCTGATGTAGATAGTTCTTTGAGATCTCTAAAGCCATGGTCACACTTTGCAATTTTCAACCGTGCAGACAACTGCAAAAGTGATGATTGTTCTCATTATCTAGTAAACCCTCTTCAAAAACCAGCGTGATTGCAACCAAAACTAGAAACAAAAGGTTTGTTCTACTCTTGCTGATTGCAAACGTGCATCCAATCAGCAAATGCCTTTGTGCCACATCATATGGTAGCAACATTGAAAATAGTTCATCATCATCATGGCAAGAAGTAAGAGGATTGATACTTTTACAGAATTGAGATTGATCGAGCTTATTCAGGCTCATGAATACTCTGTGGTATTTTAATTCTATGTTTTATCGAAGATTTTATTTCTTTGTGTATTCTTGTCAGCTCTAACAAAATGATTGCCTTTTTTTCTTTTATTCATTGCAGAAAAGGGACTGCTTGCCATTTTAATAAGAAAAGTGGTAAAATTCCATAAATACTTATGTACACAGAACCAATTTACTGTGGTAATATCAAAACATCAAAAAACGAACGTTTTCAAACCCCTTCTGGGCTCTGCATTGGGTTTTAACGGAAATTCGATTAATGAATATTTGTTAATCAAATTTCTGTCTAAAAATTGTTAGAACCCGATGCAGAGCCCAGAAGGGGTTCTAAAACGTTCATTTTTTTTTGATGTTATCACAGTAAATTGGTTGTGTGTGTTTAATTTTTTAAGTTGGTGTAGTGAGTAGTTATTCCATAAATACTCTGAAGTAGAGTGTAAACTGTTGGTAAATTCACAAAAGTAGTCAAAAACAAGCTCATTTCATTAGTTTATTATGAGGTCACACGTTTCTGAGTTGCAATGCCAGCAAACAATGTATGATCACGAGAAGACGCATGTGACTAGTGCTTGTTGCAGTTTCCTGCGCAGCTGGAAATCTCGGTGTGACCATGACTTAAGATGCAAGTTTAAGGGATATCAAACAGATCCTAGGATTGCCACAACTCTAGAACAGATGACCCTTTCAGGAAAAGGATGTAAATACATACAACAATTTAGAAACTAAATGAGCAATTATTTATTATGACATCATCACAATGCTGGGCTGCAATTTTTAATCATATTTTTAATTTATTTAATTTAAAATATATGCTCTCTACCTCAAATTAGTATCATAGTGTCTTGCCCCTGTACATCATACTTTTCCTTTAATAGTAAAGTCATGCCAGTTATCTATTAACTGCTTTCAGGGGAAAAGTTTTGAATTAAAATAATGTGATTTCTAGTTTGAATCAGAAGTTCATATATAGTTAATCAGGGCCTCCTGCCTCTAAGCTTTCTACACTAGTCTTAACTTTCATGTAACTAACTCTGGTTTCAAGATTAAGGAAATACGGACAGATGACAGTGGGAATTTATAGGTCTACAATTTTTTAAAATTGCATTTTAATCATTATGGCAGACTTTATATCACATAAATCAGAAAACCTGCCAGTAATCTAATTAAGACCATCAAATGGTAAACCTTTTGCCAACTGAACTTTGTCTTTTGATTAAAACAGACTTGATTTTAAGACAAACTCAGGCTTACCATTTGATAGTCTTAATTGGCATACCAGTAGGTTTTCTGCAAAAAAGTATGTAGATAAAATGGGATAAGTTTTGTTGATTATGATTGATGGTAAAGGATTTCTTGTTAGAATTGTTGAGGAATTAATTATTACAACTTCCAAGGGTTTGATGATCAAACAAGAAAAAAAGGAGATCTATTGCTCAATATGTAAATTTGGATCCTTTCTTGACTTAGAATGAATTTATAGAAATGTTAATTTTATGACATTTTTAAACTGAATTGTTATTTTATCTTATTTTAGATTGTTTTTTGATTTATTATTATACAATTTTACATATTTTCCAAAGACTTGTTTTAAATTTTTGAAGAATGTTGTATTGTTCTATCTAATCCAATCTTGGTTTGTTTTCAGGGTATATATGTGCACTTGTAAACAATCAGTTTTTGTTTTTCGTTCACAAAATGTTGTATCTTAGCGTATAGAATGCTCCAATTTAAAAGTATGCTTATCCTAAATAAACTATAAACTTTTCCATATTTTCACGCTTTAGTATGAATTTTTTCTTAAATAAAAGTTTTCTATAATAAAATGAAATTCCTTGATATTAATATATGAACATTAATATTTTCTTTCTTTCTTAAAAAATTCACATACATTGTATTAAACAATGTATGTGAATTTTTGACAAGTTTTAAACATCTCATTTAGAAAGGCAATGAACTTTATTTGATCATTAAAATACTTTATGATAACATCTGAAAAGCAAAAATCAATTTTATAATTTATTTTAGAAAATTCCATGAATAAGATGTTACATGTTATATTTATATTAATAAGAAATAACATCAATTTTGGAAGTAATAGTGATTTTTTTTTTTTTTAGGTAAACAAAATTAATAAATTGATTATTGTCTATTTTTAAGTAATGCTAAACTAAATATATAAATTCAAATATATTTTAATATGTAGTATAATTTGTAGTACCAAACAATCTGCTAGATTATTTATTGAGTTACATATTGTACAATTTATACCTCAAATCACTTTGTATATAATCATTGTGATATAAAGTATTAGTTTTAAAATTAATATAATTTGAATAACTGTTATACAGTAAAACCTCCGTATTGTAACAAATATTTTGTTAGCCATTAGTATTGTTAGTTGTAACAAATAAGAAAAGTTAAATTTTTACATTTATTTTGATAAATCACAAATAGTTACAATAGGGAGGTATTATATCATGGAAAGTTACAATACAGAGAGTATACTGTATTTTATTTTAGGAATTTTATGAACATACAGAAATTCTTTGGGCAGATAAAGGAGTACAAACAGCATATGAAAGATCAAATGAATACCAACTTATTGATTGTGCAAAGTAGTAAGTTAAGCTTTTTATTTCTAAAGTAGTTTACATTATTCTATTTAATAAATAAAAATAAAATTGAATAATTAACAAAATGTAAATTATTAAATATCAATAAAATACTCAAACATAGTATTTAGTCTGACAATAGCATATAATAATTTAATTAAGGTAGCAGTTTAATTTTGTTTAAATTATTTTAAATATTTATTAACAATTACAAGAATTTGATACTAAAGATAGGAATGTTATTAGCTATTAAGAAACTGTAATAATTAACTGAATTTTTGATTGAAATTTGAACTCTATTAAATCAGGTTATTAGTTTGTTAGAAACCTTTCCCATGGTTTAGACAGTGTAACTATCTTATCCAGAACTAGAAAATCTAAGTACGTTCAAATCTTGGTTTAATGTCATCTCTGATATTGGTATTAAATTGAGGAACCTCAAACAATGAAAATGATATACAATAACAACCTACACATAAGTTTGAGCTTTTGAGAGATTTAAAGTCTTTATGATTTGGTGATAACAATGTCATTCACAATGTCAAATTATCATTTAATAATTTACAGATACTCCAAGATTCTCTATTTAAAATTTATGGTGAAAATTCTTTACAAGTATTCGTTGACACTTTAAAAAGGTTTATTGAGAGGCATTGTATCAAGGTTTGACTGTATGTAAAGATATACAGATATTTTTGCTCTTTTTGTGTTGTGGTTTTTGTAATATGATTAAACAGTTATAGTTACATTAAATTATATTTTTGAATCATTTATTACAAGTACAGTAATACCCCGAACTTACGCGATAGGTGGGACCGAGCGATAACCACGTAAGTCGAATTTGCGTAAGTCGAGGTATAATTTCTCAATGTGTGTAAAATCCAAGTCGGGTGTATATAAGCTAATAAATATTCTCGTTAATCTTATATTGTCGTTCATTGTTACAAGAAATCACCACAGAGTCTCGAGTCTCCGTAGATATAACAAATACAGAAATAAATAACACAAAATAAATTGTAGCTATGTGTCGATTCCGCGCACATGTCTAAACATGTAAGCTGAACAATAATGTGGGGGGAATGAGTAATCAAGAGTTGCGTGGCGCTCAAACAAAAGATGAATTGACGAGATTTGAAAATCGCGTAACTCCAGGTTCGTGTAAGTCGAGGTATTACTGTATATAACAGATGATCCAAACATTCTTCAACTTTGTTGCTATTTTTGGTGCCATCATTGTATAATTATCTGTAATTTTTTTTTACACAACAGCAAACTGGGTTTTTTTTTTGTAATTGAGTATGGCTATTTTTGCTTGTGTATGCATGTATTTATCATTAATGTATGTTTATTTACATAGAAATGTTTTTTTAATTTAAGAAAGTAGTAGTAATCTCAGCAGTAATATCATATCTTTCCTCAGTGTTAAATGATAAACAAAAAATTAGCTAAAACAAACATTAGTTAACTTAAAAAGAATGTTTAAATGTTAAATTCAGTTTTCCTTTTTTTTACACATATGATAATACATGCTGCAATAGTATTCAAACTGCTCATTTAATAAGTCTTTACATATGAATTTTAATGTATAGACCCAGGGTGGCCAAGCTCCTTGATAGTCCGAGCCATTTTTCAAAATTTGAAATTTTTCGCGAGCCGCAATTAAATACGTATTAAAAAGGTATGCAAAAAATTCCAGATTGTAAATTATATTCGTAGTAAGAGTGATACAAATTGTTTCCTCCAGAGCACAATGTCAATTGTCCATTGCAATGACAGTTTACAAATTCAAAATCGGTCTGGAGTCGGTCGATAATGGACGATTACGCCACTGTTTATGTTCGTTCGCGCAGTTTTCGATAAGTCATATCATTCTTAACTTGGACAGAAATAAAATTTGTTACAATGTTGCACTTAGTCTTTCATATTTGTTGTTAGTAATTTAAAAGACATTTTGAAACACATACGGAACAATAATAATTTTTAAAAATATAATAACACAAAATGAAAAGGGAACTCGGGTACATTTATCGAGAGCCACAAATAATCCTTCAAAAAGCCGCATGTTGGCCACCCCTGGTATAGACTGATATACACATTTTCAATAAGTGTAGGGATACAAGATTGCATTTCTGAATTATACTGTCCTGTATGAAAATGTCCAATGTTTGCCAAGTCTCACATTAGTATGGCAAACAATTATATTTTGTTGCAAGTTGTTAATAGTTCAGGATTGATTTAAATATAGACTTTGCTTTTTAGTAGATTCCACAGATAGAAATAAAATGGGGTGAAAATTTAAGAGGCCTCCGTCTTTCAGTCCATTGACCTGGTAGATGGTCATCCAACCATACTTGAACAACTAAACCATAGTAAAAAGTTGACATTTTTACTTTCATAGAACAGTGCATCATTTATTTAGTAGAAGTTATTCATTGTAGAAAAGCAGAGTTTTGTTAACACTGTCTGAGATCTGCAGAAATGTCTGCAGCTGTTAAAAACTTTGGTCTGAAAAGTTCAGAATTATCTAGGCATAAATTGAAAAAACTGCTAATTTAAAATTATAATTGGCAGCCATTAGATTTCTTTTTTGAAAACTACCAGAAATGTTTTGGTATACCTCAGCAGTATTCTTATTCAGTTTAATAAACATTGTTCTAAACAGTAAGTAGATTTAAAACTATGTAAATATGGTATTAAACTGGATAGTAAAATCTATGCAAGGACAATGATTAATTGTATTAGTGTGACCAGAGGGTCGGCACCTCTTTAGTGCTTTGTCAGGACTGACACCACTGTGTCTTCTAGGATAGACACAGAAACCTTAACTGCCGCAAATTCGGAATTTGTGTGAATGGTCACGTGCGTGGGCAGTCGGATTCAGGATGAAGGAGGATTGAGAGTGGGCTTGGAAGTGAATCAATCAGGTTAACAACTAAAATAACCGATTTAATTCAACTAAATAGAATACGTAGCTTCATATATCGAATAACGGTCAAGAGAGATAGTTTACAAGAAACAGCGGGTTGGTATAGATACCTGTGATGCACTTAATTATGCGGACTTTCGGATCGATGAACTTTGTTCGGTCGGTCATTGGGAACTTCTTACTTTCAGTTCGGTTGGCTGGAGCAGTTGGGAAGGCATTATATTTTCCTTTTGCTTGAATGGTGGTCAAATCAATGGAGAACTGGAGGATATAATAATCCGGGGAGTTCAATGGAGTTCTAACGAAAAATTCTTGATAGCCTGACGATGATACCTCTCTTTTTGTTCACCTTGTTGATGCTTTCGTGAACTCTCAAACGCTCTGAACTCCCTTGTCCTTGAGCCACTCATTTTTATACCTCCAAATCATGTTATCCTTTCTCCCTAATCAGGAATTTTTTCTATTAGTTCCCAGTGACACATTGGATGAGTTCCCTGGGAAAGGAAACAACTCCAGAGAGAGAGATACGATCATTCTCCAGTAATAAAAAATGGAAACATTTTTTGAAAGATGAAAAATGAATGGTTTCTCCAAATTTTTGTCAAGTCCAACTCTCACATTAGTATGGCAAAAAAATGTTAGAAACATTAATCAAAGTGAAAATACATATATGATGAGTTCCATGGGAAAGGAACAACTCCAGAGAGAGAGATACGATCATTCTCCAGTAATAAAAAATGGAAACATTTTTTGAAAGACGAAAAATAAATGTTTTCTCCAAATTTTTGTCAAGTCCGACTCCCACATAAGTATATTTAATAATCTGAGTACTTTTCATTTTTTACAATGACTAAACGTGGCTAATTAATTATCACTAAAAATAATCTTGCTGTAAAGTTTTCTTAACGTGAGTTTGTTTGAAAGTTTAAGTATTCTATATATATATGAACGTTAATGGGATGTGTGGGGAAAAGATTTTTATCACCCATCTTAAACTGTAAAAACTGCTACCCTTTTCGATTGAAATTTTTAAAAATTTTTGAGGAAGATTTGATAAAAGTCGAGGAGATTGAAAAAATCGTGTGTCATATCTCCAATAATTTCGAATTTAATAACGATTTTAGTCGTTATTAACATTTTCAATATTTACAAAAACTTGATTCCACCTTCAACATTAAGCTTTTTCCATGTAATAACGATTAAAAATATTGAAAATTTTAAAGTAAAATACCTTAACATCTGGCGCCACACACAGATTTAAATGTTGCCGGGAAAGTTAAGCAACTGGTTGCTGAAGTTTTTTTTATTTTTGGCAATTGCTGAGCCGTACTGAAAAGATTAAAAAGATGTGTCTAATTAATTTTTAATTTTTAATTCGTAAATAAAGTTTGTTGTTATAGAAACGTATCCATACTCAAATATAACATTCTCTTTGTATTTGATTATGTTAAACTTATTACCAATGAGATATTTCAGTATTTGTATTCCATATTAGATAGCTTCTGTACAAAATATTCAATATTTACCTNATTATAAATTAACAAATAAATAGAATGAGAGTAGAAGAAACATAACAGATAAATTTTTGCAAGATTACTTTCCTATAAAAGAACACTTCAATAAAATATTGCCTCAACTACAGAAATATTTAAACTAATTAAATAAAAAATACCATTAAACTAATAACAGTTGAAAGTAAAAAAAAAACACACAACACTGGGGAATAGTCAACAACTTACCCTATGAACTGATGACCGGTATTCAAAGAAAAAACAAAACAAAAATTTGTCATGAACATTTTCGTGGCAAATTGAACTGAAGAATTTTGAAGAAGAACTGCCCAGAAGAAAGACCCAAAGAAGAATTCCCCAGAGTTCTTCTTCAGGTGTTAAATGGATGTCCAATGGAACATAAAAGCTTTGGAACACAACCATTTGAACAATTGTTCGAATCAGACACATGAGAAATTTTTAAGTCATGTTACGCTTGCACATTCAGATGCCTAGCAGAGATCAATGTTTAAACATTGGTGTCAATCAGCACCTGCCAGGCCATCAACAAAACCAGCTCCTCCTCATAATTAATGCACGTAGAAATGAAACTAGATTTAAATATGTGCACAATCTCTAACTATCTTAGGTACTTAGTGGGGGGCAAAGCGAGGATGATCCTCGCCTGGTTGAAGTCTGCTTCGATGTCCAGATCACCAGCACATGTAGTGAGGACTGTGGTAGTTCGTGCATGTTGTATGTCTGTGAGATGCTCCTGTAATCTGACTCCTAAGGACTGCATATTTGAGCCAATGTAAACCAGGTTCTTATTGTATCTATTGTCCCTAATGAGGACACTATATGCCAGGGAGTTGGTTTGGGTTGGGAGGGTCTTTCCCATTGTGGAGGATATCAAAAATAGTTGGGTGCCTCCTGAATGTGACACAAACCCGCTGTTTCCTGGCAATCTCAGTACACAATGATTTTAAGTATGAATTAAATGTAATAGGAACCCATTCTTCATCTTTGGGTTGATTATCTCTCAATGTATAAACTGCAGGATTGTATGCTAAGTGTGTATGGTAGTAATGTTCAATCAACCTACGGGTAACATTGGGTTACCCATAGGTTATACAGCAAAGGCTAAGCACTGTATAAACATTAATTTGGCAGTAAGGGCTTGAAGAGTAGAAGAATGCATAAAAGCCCTACTTGTTAAAGCCTTGTATGTTGTAATCTTGTAAGGAAAAGGGTCACGTGACCTTACCGGTATGTATGCGGACATCGAGCCTGGTTTATGGAATGCAGAGGTGTGGATGCCTGACTCCTACACTCTAATATTTATGTCCAGGAAGTGGACCTCTGAGGGGTTAACTTGTTCCACTTCCAGGGTAAACCTGTAGGGATTAGTTATTGTTAATAGTATCAACAAAGATTGTCAAATCCGGCACTGTTCTCCAAAAAATTATGATATCATCTATATACCTCTTGTACAGAAGAGTGTTGGGGTGGAACTGTGGAAGAATTTTTCTCTCCAACTGTCTTACTACCATTTCACATAGGTCCCTTGATACAGGGCTGTCCATAGGGACCCATCTTCCCTGAGTAAAGACTATGCCATTAAACTGAAAAAACAAATTATAGCATATTAAGTGGGCCATCTCAAGAACATGGTGGTATAACGTGTCATCATCAACAACACAAAATAGGAATTGTTTTGGAAAGATCTTTAACTTTTAATTTATAAATATTATTAGACTAACAGTCATAAAAGCACTGAAGACTTTGAAGACATTTTTCATTGATTAATAAAATAACATCATTAAACAAGTGCCATTTTGTTTGAATAAAAGAAATAGAACCTATTAAAGATTATTTTAAAGCTTTTAAGAGAAAGATCATAAAAATAAACTAATGATAATTAAGAAAGTGACATTAAGCAGTTTACATATATATATTAAATCCAATTTCATAACATTAATTATGATATCTCATTAAGAGTGAACTAATGTACCTTATGAGATACGGATTGACAACTTTGTTGTTATATTTATATCTTTGTATGTTAAGGTGTTAATTTTTTTTAAGTTGAAAAAGTAGTAAAACTTCTATTAAAATATTTTGATATAACCCATTATCATTTCAACCCATAAATTATTTTTATTCTGTACACTATTTTATAATTTTTATTCAATTATAACATATTTATTATATCAAATTGGACAATCCAATATTAAAATGCTTTAATAATCTATTAATTATGTTAAAATAGTTCATTTATATAGCTAGAATATTATCAATAATAATTCAATAGTGTAGAATCTGTTAAAGAAACAAAATAGTGAAATATCTGTATGTTGTTTTGTCTGCTGTCAATATTTGCCAAAACAAAATGATTTATTCAAAACAATAAAGTAATTTTTTTACAATAACAGACACTCAAATGTTTTTTCACTCTGAAACTCATTTTCAGGTATTATTCAGTTAAACAATATTCAAATGGTCAAATTAAAAAAGATATGCAAATAATGTGGTGACAGTCATTTTGACAACTAAATTATACTAAAAACAAACAAATTAATTGCTGTGTAATAAACAAAACATAGTTTTAAAAATGTGATGAAGATTACAAAATATTTATCTGTTATTGTACAGTACATCCATATTGAATTTTTTTATGATGAGAATTAAAATAAATTCTTATTCTTAAAATATTTTTGCTTAATTTTGTTTTTGTTACATAATGATTAATTTTTTTTTGGTCTGTTTCTAATTGAATATTGTAAAGATGATAGCTTTTCTATTATATTTGGTATTTGCTTCCAAATGTGATTATTTGAATATTTTAATGAAGTTGTAAATTATAATGCTTGAAAACATTCAATTGTATTTTTCTTGTAAATAATTTTAGTGCTTTGAATAAAGCATTTTGTTTTGGTGAATCTTAGACATTATTTATTATTAGAACAGTTATGTTAATTTTTTTATTTGCTAATATTTATGATCTATTTTTCTAGACTTTTTTCAAAATTTAAAAATTAAATGGGATTTTGAATCTTATTATTTTTATTTTATGGGAATTGTGTTATTTTTAATATCTTTGAATAGTCCTTTTCCAGAGCTTATGCTTTAATTTAATATGTAAATGATTAATGTTATTTATATCTAGTTTTACAAAAAAATGATTGAATTTTAACATTCCAAGTTAAGTTTGATAAAAATATGAAAGTTTACTATTTTGTGATGTTAAAGCAAAAATGTTTTTAAACCATCTAATTAAACACCTCAAGACAATAAAAAGTCACACATTTTAATAAAGATTAAAAATTTTCATTAAAATTTTATTTACAATAATTTTGTATTGAAGGGTGAGAAAGTATCAATCAAAAAATATATTTATTACAGTAGAAAACATTTGTTGCTAAATATTTAAAATTTTCAATAACAAAAATAAGATTCAAATGAAATGTTTAGATGTGATGATATAATTTTCAAATGATCCCAATTATTACAGAATCTAATTCTTCAGAAGTTTTTTTTAAGATCAAAATATTTAGAAAACCATAATTTTGGTTTTATACTCTTTTGGTTCTCGACAGTTGATATTTAATTTTAGTATTACAAAATAAATAGTAGATATAATTATAATGTTTCTTATTTATTCATTTTAGTTTCCTTGATAGAGTACATATAATAAAACAACCTGATTACACTCCTTCAGAACAGGTGAGTAGTAAGTAGTAGTAGTAATATATTTTATGATATTATAAAAAATTTCACAAAGGCAGGATTTGAAACATCACTTATAGTAAATACTTTTTATATGAGTTAATAAATATTTTTTTTATATATATATTTGGTTACTAAAGTTGCAATTTTTATGCTTTTGATTATCATAGTTATTGATAATTATTATTTTAATTTTCAGAATACTTTGATGATCAAAATATTACAGGAAAAGTCATGTTCTGTATTTACATTGAATGTATTGTGATGTATAATCTGGTTACTCTGTTATTATTGAATTTGATGCAAAAAAATGTAGTTTAACATTTGTCAGATTAATGAAAAATGAAAATAATTTGAAACGTTAACAAAATATCTTTTAAAACTTTTGTGAAAGTATTGCAACACATTTTGTCAATGGATTTTACTTGATGTATGCATGCTGTTATGTTCTGTATTTGAATGATAAGAAATATGCCTTAAAATGCTGGTTTAACTTAATTATATTACAATGTTACAGACTGATTATTAATTTTCTCAATGGCACTTAACATTTTTATGAATTGCTAAAAATTTACTGTTTATAGCTTAATCACACTTATTTTAGCTCCAACTATTGACAATAAAAGTCTTTTTCTGTTATATAGCATCATCAAAATTTACTACTGTCTATACCAGTGTTTTTCAACCTGAGGACTGCGTTAATATTAAAGGGGAGTCGCGAAACAATAATGAAATCATTTTATGAGAAAAAATCATTTATTATAAACTTATAAACATTTTACTTACAATAAGTACACATGTAGAGAAAAGAAATTAATGTAATGGTTGCATTTGTTTTTCATTTAAAATTTTCTCCATACGTGGATCTACGTTAGAAACACACAAAAGCAAATTCTTTTCGAGTGATAAAAGATGATTTACATTTATAAATTACATTTATAAAAATAAAAATAATAATTTAATAAATAAAAAAAAATTTACATTTATAATTACAGTCAAAATTCAATTACTAATAGTAAGGCTTACTGTTATTATTTCTTTGGGGTGGTCGTGAAATATTGATTTTATTTATATTTACTATTTGGGGGGTCGCAGAGCTAAGAAGGTTGAGAATCGCTGGTCTAAACTAATGGACTACACCTTCCTATAATAATGGTATAACAGAAACCAAAAGAGTTGTATGAAACAACTAACAGGACTAAGTAGCAAATTATATTGTTTCATTTTCCAATTTAAATCAACATCACTTACCAATTACTGAGTTTCTCTCAGTATGGTATTGTTATTAAATCATAGATAATTAGAAAAAAAAAAATAGATATAATGAACTTGTGTATTCGAGTTTTTTATATAGGTATACCTTGAGTTACGTTGTTCTTGATTATACATCATTTGTCAAAAAATATATGGAAAAATAAAAGTCAGGTTTAAGTCATTTTATTCTGTCCATTTAAGTCATTTTATTCGTAAAGAATTAAATGACTTAAACTGACAGAATAAAATCTGTCCTCCACAAATATTGAAGTTGTAATATCACTAAAAAAAGTGTTAAAAGTGCACAAATACATTTACAGTAAATGTTAATATAATCATCATAAATTGTAAAGAATGAAATATGAAAACATCTGTGACTCTGTGTTGTTGTTTTATTTAGCGGTCAATATTGGCATTTTCCGCGGTAGTTCCAATATCTACTGTTTGGCGTCGTCGTCAGCGCCACTTGATATTGGTAAATTTAACATAAATTAGTTTTTTCTACTATCACAAAATAATTTTAATAACTGTATTTATTATTTAACCTTACAGAATCATTTTATTTTATAATGTCTTAGAGCAAACCACATTTACAAATAGAGTCTGCAATGCACTGTAAATATCACCAAATTGTAAACATGTACATTTACAAATATGTATGTACGTACATGTATTCATAAATTTAGATTACTTTTTTCTGTACTATATTAATTAAAAACTAAAATTTATTTGTTTGTAAGCTTAAAATAGATTCTTATTAACCATATATTATTAAAAATGCATTTATAAATAAAATACAGAACCAGGAATAATAATTTATGGGTTAGCCTTGTGACAAGTAGCTTGGAGACAAGTAAATTTGACTTAAGTCGCCTCTCCTGGAACCAATTACCGACGTAAGGCGAGATATATCTGTATTATGTATATAAAAATTCAGTGTGTACTTAAATATTTTAATTTTTTCTGAAGACTACCAAAAGTTTATGCAAATATTTTTGATATCTGTTTATTTAAAGATAGATTTACAATGGGAGACTTAGGAATATATATCATGGGCATGGATCAGCTTTCATATGGTTATTCTACATTACTAGAAATATTAAGTATATATGACCTAAAATTACTATTTTCTTGATTAAAAAATAGAGATAATCTATGGCTTTACAGCAGGATACTTTTTAGTGCCCCTGAATAACCATACAAAGGCAAATACAAATCTGTGAAATATGTTTAAGCCTCCCCTTATTAGACATATGATTACTGGAAGAATACACATATTTATTGAAGAAACAAAGCATATAGATTTGATTATATAAAAGAAGTTTAAGAAATTTGTTGTTTAATTAATTTAAGTAAAAATTCTGATTTATCAATTAATTTGAATTGTCAGTTATTCCATTTGCATAAATTTATCATATCACCATTTGTGTAAAATAGATCTATATATTATGAAGATTCATTTCATGCATGAATACATATAATAATATGATAATTTCATATATTTTAGTAAGAAAATTTATTTTGACTTAAACAAATTACTCTTAAGGTTGTTAGTAAGTCCATTAGTAGTAGACTTGCTTTAGAATATGTAAGGCTGGCTATACATAGATGCCACAAAAACGTCCTTATACAAAATGATTTAACTTGAAGCAAATTCATTTTGTTCAATGCTGTATGCACACTGATCAAGGAAAATGTCTTTAAACAAAACATATTGCTACATTCTTTTTTGTGCATATGCAGTGATCAGCTGTTGCAATTTCAGCATTGTACCTCATAGAACCACAATTTTTTTCAATGATAAAGTAGTGTTTGCAACTCTTATATTAAAGTGGATGTAGTTGTGTCAGGAAGAAAACAAAAAATATGTTTATGTACCCAATTAATCAAAAAAGAATTGAAGAAATTACTCTTCAAAAATTGATTAAATATCAATATGAAACCAAACTTTGAAATTTTATTTCATTAAGCTTTGTTTAATAACATTTAGAATGTAAATGAAAGATAAAATATAAAAATGACACTAATCTACAGGAGAGCTACTATTTTAATTTATTATAATCAACTACGTATGCAAATGTAGCTATAGATGTAAAGTGTCTAGTCAGCTATAAATGCATGCACATAAGAAAATGGTTGCCCATTGAGCAAGAATCCATGTTTGCATGTCAGACAGGTTTGAGCATACTTAAACTTGTATAATCATGTCTTTCAATGAATTACTTCTTTTTGTGTAAAAATGTTTTCATACAGAATATTTTGCTGGATATTAAAACATTTCAGTGCACACTGATTAAACAAAAACATCTCTAGACAAAACATTTTATCAAAAGGTATTTAATTCTGATTTATCACATTTTGCATTTTGTTTCATCAGTGTGCATTGGGACCTATGTAAACCGTTGAAAAAACAGTTTTAAATGTGTTTAGTAAAAAAAAGTTTTGTATAAAGTTGTTTTTGCTGTATCAAAAGTTTACTTCATTTGTGGATTGGTCTTTAAATTTTGGCTACTTCATAAAAATTTATAGGTCCTGTATGCATCAAAATATACAGTATGTAGACAAATACAAAGCAACATTTAAAAAATTTCTAAAATTTTAATAACTCTTAAACTTCAAGATTTTTATGTTACTTTGTATTTGTGTACAGATTTGGTTTAATGAAACATGCAGGCTATATACATTTAGCAGTAATATAAAATTTGTTTTTATTATATGGGAGAAAAGTTATAATTTTTTTCCTAATAGTTTTTTTTAACATAAAAGTGTTCCAATCTATGTATTTGTATAAAATATAAGGCATGCTTAATAATTCAAATTTATTAATGTTAGAGTTTGAATTAGCAAAAACATAAAATTAAAATTAAAATTTTAATTTAATATTTTTTGCTAATTTTCAAAAATTTAAATTTGAAAGTAATACAAGTAAAAATGATTTTCAAATAAAATTTCAAGTATAATAGTATTATGTGTGAATATATGTGTAGTACTTAAAATTAATGTTAAACTATCTTCAGAATAATAATTTTTAAAAGAAAGAGATAGTGAAGTTTTGTTTTGCTTCTGCATAATGAGTGAAATGATATTCCTAGTTTTTAATTACACTCATTTCTCATTACACTTCAGTTCAGAATACTAGAGTTACAAATTACTAAAAATATACAACATTATTATTGTGCAGTATTTCATGTAATTGTGAAATTACTTAATTTTTAATAATATGTAACTACAGAAATTTAACTTGCTGGAATTGATGGAGAAAAATCATAATAAAGAAAGAAGGTTTTGTTTTATATTTATAGCTCTATACTTATTATTATTATAAATAATAATAATAAGTATTTAATAATAATAAGTTAACTAGCATTTTAGTAAATTTTTGTGTGTGAGTTTGAACTCATTAAATGGAAATAAATGAGCACATCATTATCTTTTAGAAAAAGAAATTTTATATGAAATGTATCATATTTTTCTGAAAAAAATACCCGAAAATTGAAATTTAAACTTAATATTCTATGAAGTAATATAACAACTTAATTCTATGAAATACAGACTAATACTAAATTTGGCACTGTTTTTTCTTTTTAAATCTTTAAAAAAAATTTATAACTCTCCCAATGTAATTTATGTACAAAAAACCATTATATATAATTATTTATGCATTGAAAATTTTTATAAAAATTATACCTGTCTTGTGGAGATTTATATATGAATATAACACAGAATGATTCTTTGTACAAAAA